GTGATGTAATGATGAGACAATTACGAGAAGAGCACGTTAATTTGCTCAACGAGATGAGCAACTTCGTTAGGTGGTGTTGCCTCATAAATATTCTCGTAATTGTTGTGGTGGTCTGCATCCAAATATTAAATGTAAGTTTAAAGATTATAATTGTAATGATTGTAATTTATTTTAATTTCTTTACATAAATTAAACTTTAAATTTTTTTATCACAGTTAATTTTTAAATCTCTAAATGGAGCATTAGTATTGATAGATCTCTTCTACATTCAACACGAAAAATGTCTATCAACATCATTAACTAGTGCTCCGTAAGGGTCGGGTCAGGTCGAGTCGAGTTTAAGGCATATTCGAACTCGATCCCGTTAATAATTACAGAAACCGAATTCGACTTGAACTCGATCATTGTTCGACTCGGATTCGACTAGTCGTAAAAAAAAATTTCAATCAACTCATTTCTATTTGTTAATCATAACAAATATAATGAACAATTTCGAAAAAGGAAAGAAACTAGAAGACAAAACTGCCGATAGATTGGATGCTGTAGGAGTCAAAATAATAAAAATGGGTAAGTTTCTCACTGAAATATTTGTCGAGTCATTGTGCACTGCCTCTTTGTGTAAAATAGGGAATCGAAAGCTCTTCGTTGCCACGGTTTCGATCGTGAACTTTCTTGATTATAATGGCGCAAATACTCATTTTTTTTATATTATTATTTTTTAGTGTGCCTGGAGATGGTGGGATCGATATCTCTGGAGAGGCTACAAGTCACGAATTTGCAATCCAATGCAAGAATTGGGCCAATAAAATAGGTATTGTAGCAAAAGTACATGTATTATCAAAAAAATGAAACGCAATTAATCGTTCTTGAAACGTAATTAGGTCGTAACGTCGTGGAAGAGCTTGCAGGGGTGCTCTCCCGACGCGAAAAACCATGGAAAAATCGGTATCGTGGTGGCGCCCTCCGGATATTTTACCCGGAGCAAAGAAAGCCGGACGGGTGCATGGGATTATATTGATAAATGTAAAAGATCTATGCAACGATCTTTCGATTTTATAGCCGAAAAACAAAAAGAAAACGATCGATTTAAGCTAAAAAAAATGTAGTTGTAATTTCTTTTTTTATTTCTTGTATTTCGACTTATTATTTAATTCCTGTAACACGTTACTATTTTAAATTATTTTCTTCTTTTGTATTTTTATTTTGTATTTTTTATTATTTTATCTTTATTTTCGACTGGTCCGAATCCGAATAAATTTTTACTTTCTATTTGCTTTAAGCTGTGATCTTTATTTCGTTACATACTGTATCATTGAAGAGTTTAATTAAGTGTTAGGATTGAAAATTAACTTAATCTCAACACACATCCAGTATCCTAAATTCGATAATCAATGTACTTTTACCCATATTTTTTTTAACAAAGAATTTAATTATAAACAATAAATATCCTTATTTATTTCAGATCATATCCGCTTGAAAAATCGTATTTAATATTTCTTAATTAAATTTTTTTTCCTAGCAAATGAGTATTAATTAACAATTTTTCAGTAATATCTCAACGTGATTATTTAAAATAATAGTATTAAACTAAAATTTAAAGACATTACCTTGATGCGTCAATATTAATTGGTGATGATCTTTTTTATTTTGTAGGGATTAAAGGTTGTTTTATAATTACGTAATGTATATATTTATTATCACTTTACTATCCTAATATTATTAAAAATAATTAGATTTATAGATATTATAAAAAAATTTAAAGTCTAATACCAATAGATATATTATTTACATATGAATATTTTTATAAATATAATCTATGCAAAACTTATATTAATCTATACAATTTGTATAAATTTATATTAAAATGTAACCTTTGATATAATGGTTGCAACCTAATATATAAACTTATATAAATTAATACTTAAAAATTTCTAATATAAAATTATTAAATAAATTAAACCAACAGATCTTAATAAATTTATATTTTTATAAATAAAATTTTTAATAGAAAAATATTAAAAAATAATTTTAAAAAACTTATTTATATTTAAAATATTAGCAAAGTAAATAGAAAATTCTATAATTTAACAATAACTTCAAATTATTATTTAATATTATATTTATTTATCTACTAATATTAAGTTAATGCTCATTGATTTTACAATTGCATAAAGATAAAAATTTTCAATTAAGAATACTTTAGACTTAATGACAATTTCTATTTCTTAGTTTTTATTTGATTTTATTAATTAATATAAAATATTAATTAAATTTTCTTTATTAAAAATATATCAATATATATATTTTTTAATTATAATTTATATAGTTTTTATATTTAAATATATTATTTATATTAATCAAATTTAAAAATTTAAATTATTAAATTACCTGCTTTTTTTAATTAGTTGTAATTTATTTTTTCAGTAATTGTATTTTTTTGATTTTAGTAGCTAACCCTATAATATTAAAATAAATAATATATAATATATTATCCTTTTTAAAAAATTGTAAAAAATTTAACTAATAAATATTACTTTTATTACATTAAGTATATTGTATTATATAAATACTACTAAATAAATTAAGTATTATATTATTTATAAAATTTATATTATAATAAGTATTTTGAATAAATAAATTCAAATTATTAATTAGAAATCATTAAATTAAATTAGAAAATTTATTTAAATCAATTGAATTATGATTTAAAAAAAATTTATATTATTTATAAAACTTAGTTTATGAAAATTATAAAATTTATAAAATTTATAATATTTATTAAAAATATAAATTAAAAATAATTAATAAATTTTATTACTAAATATTATAATTTTTTAAATAAAACTAAGTAAATTATTATTTAACTTAAATAATAATCCTATTTTTAAGAATAATGCATTTTTATTATTTTTTAAAAGAATGATATTTTTTATAAGAATAATAATCAATATTATTCAAGAATGATAATTATAATTGATAATTATAAGATAATTATTATCTTTTAAGAATAATGATTGCAATTATTCTATAAGATAATGATAATTGCAATCATTTTATTAAAAATGATTATTATTATTTGAGAATAATATTTTATAAAATAATTACAAATTTAAAAAGAATTTGACTCTTTCTAATTTTAGTTCAATATATTTTAAAAGCTAATCAGTTAAATGAATTATTTTAAAAAATTCAAAGCTGAAGATTTTATATTCTATTTGATTATTAAAATCCAACCAAGATAAATTAACAATTACCTTAAAAGATTAGACAATGAGTTTCTAGCAGCCATTTCTTGGATTCATCTTTTATTGCATTGATGTTAAATAACTAATGAAGATCCTTTCAAAAAATTTACAATTACAAATCCAAGTAATAGTTTCTTAAGGCTTTTCGTCTAGTGGTACCTTTACATCTTATGGTGTTGCTAAAAAGAAGCTATTAATATCAAATAATAATTGCATCGGTGAAGGATGCTAGAAATCAAATTATTTTGAACTGCCTTTGTTGGTTTCCATAAACCATTTTATGTCAACCTCACGAAAAGTGAATAATAGTTTTCTAATATGTAAATTAGTTAACTAAAAATAAATGAAGATATAATAAAGAGTAATGATTAAATAGGAAAATTATCTCTCTCACCTATATGTTTTTTATGATTGCTATTTTCAAGTATTCTGACCACCATCCAATACTGTGAAATTAGTATAACAAACTATATGCTATCTCAGATAATAGCAATCAAAAGAAGCTTGAGACACTGCTAGTGCCAAATTTAAAAATAATAGTAGACAAGATGTTTACATAGTCGAATCAAACTCTGTGATCGTGGAAGCTGTGCATAAGATAAGGAATGTTCTAAATTATCAACTTTTAAACTTCACAAATCTTTCTTATGATGGAACTATTAGATGTTCATAATAAAACTAAATCGAGAAAACTATAATCTTGACGAAAGTACCAATATCACTTGAAATGCCACCTCAATAAGCTATGCTGCTAATAAAGATGTTCATTTGTAGGCATTTCGATGCATTAGGATTGTCTGTGACTAATGGATTTGATAATCTTGCAGTAGGTTTATTAAATGTTGAATTAGCAGGCGGTCTAAGAATTCTGCTCTAATTTGGCGCGTTAATCTTTCTAAGTCGTTTTGTTTATATTGGTTTTCATCTAAAAAAAAATATATAATTTATCAGTTAGTACATGTAAATTTAACTTTATTCACGAAAATTAATATACATACTTTTAAAAAAAAAAAATTTTTATGTAAAAAGAAATGATTTTAAAGTTTTTTTTTTTTTTTCGAATTAGTGTGACACGTGATTTGTCGATCAATTAAATTTCTACGATTAACCATAATTTAAGAAATGTAATATGTGTATTATGCATTGAAAAAAATTTAAAATTCGTTGTGCGCAATAAATAAAAATTTAATTCGTATTTTTTATTTATTTTCGTGAACTGTAATTTACCGAAATTTTTAATATTTGAATTGAATTAATCGATAATTTCCTGAGTATTAGAAATGCTGATCATAATTAATTTATTCGAGTTTAATTTTTTTTAGATGACCTTATTAGACATTTGTAAAGTTTTTTTTAATTATTTTGCTTTCGAGTTGGGCTGGATCTGTAAAGACTTTTTTTATTTTCATTTTTATTAGACGATTTCCTTCTCATTTCATTGAATTAATTTTTTTTTTTTAGGCGCTGTAGGCAGCAGCAATTGTCTAGTGTGTTTAATTCTGAGTTCGATACTTGGGCGCAATAACTAAATGATTTTGGCCCTTTAGGGTATGATTCGCTTCCAAAAGTTTTGAATGTCTAGTATCGTACAATTTGAACTAAGTATTTATGTGGTTTGGCGAATTTATGAAATATTATATTTGTTATATAAGGATAAATATCGTTACGAAGATATTCGTCTCGTCTATCAACCCACGACATCAATTAATTGATCTTTATAGGTCAGGTGTGAAACCTAAACATGCATATTTCTTGATAGAATACAGTTTTTAGTAACTTCCTGATAGTATAAAACTTTTTTTTCGTGTTACTATGTAGATTCCACTCGTTTTTACTTGTGAAATTACTTTTAAAATTTAATAATCAAATACAAAATGCCAAGCTATTCAACATATATAAAATATAATAATATGTAAATTCAGTTAATGTGCAATTATGCTCGCGATTTAACAATGTATCACTTTATGAAGTAGGAAATAAAGTTTGCTTTAATAAAAACAAACAGAACTTTTATAATTTTGAAATAATTTATTAAACGAACATAAAGATAATTATATACGTTTTAATCTATCAAGAAGGATACTAAAATTTTGTGTTACACTTTAATCTACCTCTTAGCAAGATTGATACTTTTGCGCCTTTGTAAGTTCCATGTGCATGATATTTTTATTGGATGCCTTTCCCATATATGTATACGGATTTGTTACTTCTGATCCAAAAATTTACTCCTCACGGTATAATTGTTTATGCTTATTTGTCACATCACATACAAAACGAATAAACCTAATCCACCAAAAAATTCTTAATTCCTCAGCCAAATTATTAATCTCATCCCATTATTTGGTGATGATCATTTTGACTTATATAAGTTTAAATATAATAATGAAAATAAATTACAATTAAAGGATTTTAATAAAGAAATTTACTAAGTTTACAAGGGTTGTATAATGTGGTATAACTTTTATTATTGGGAAAATCAAATTTGATTGGTTGATTCAGGACCCGAATATTATTAGCTACCTTCTGTCATTGTACTTTTAAGAACATTTGCTCTGCATAAATATAAAATACAATGCACTGTTACGCTTCGATTACATCTTCATCCTTAAGCTCGAACGAATGAACATATCCGCCTCTTTAAAATTCACTCGCCATCGCAGATCTTCAGCAGCTTCGCGAAATTAACCATTTCTCACAAACCTCCAGAAACTCTTCTGTTGCATGGTCTTTTAGGATTTTCGCTCCTCTTGTATTGGAATAATGGAGAGGGCCTTCTCGCTCATCACCTTGTTTTTCTCCCGATTCTTTTAGTAGTGATTGAAACAGAAAGACGAACAAAGACCAATCATGCTAAAGGGCGGAAGAATAAAATGTTCGATCGTGGCAGTTTAAATGATTGAATCTACAATATTTATAAGTTGAAGCAAAAAAAGACCAAAAATTAAATTAAAACCTCAAAATGTAGAAAATGTAATCATTTGATCATCACAATTTGAAGCAAAAGTATAATAATAAAAAATTTGGCAATGAATTTTTCTTTGATAACAAATTGAAAAATCATTGCGTCATTAATAAAATAGATTAATCGAAACTCGAGAACGATAATACGCGATTAATCGATTCTAAAATCTATTCTACATTTTTGAAATGATTCAGTTCCTACTTATATAATTATTAATTTATCTGGTGGTTGCTACTCGTCTTCATGGTATTCACGTCTTCAAAACATCTTGCCCAGATTTCTTTCAAAGCTGTTGTACTCCAGCAGCACATAGACAACGATTTTTAGTTTTATCGTTCATCACGATTCGTTAAAGGCGATTGCGTTGAGGTAATGAATCAAAGGCAGACGTCCAGAATGATGCATCATCCAAAATCTCGTAACTGATTTTGTCTTCTGTCTCATAAAGTTTT